ATGTAGATTTCCTAGCGTCCGTAGCTTGGCTACGATTCAGTAACCTCTTCGGAGAAACTGAAGGATTTGTATGTGCAATTATGGACGAAGTTATCCTCACGAATAACTACCGGAAATATATTATGAAGGATGGGACGGTTGACATATGTCGGGCATGTCATAGCCCCGGTGAATCCATCAGACATATTATTTCCGGCTGTGGTCGTTTGGCTAATGGCGAATACTTGCACAGACATAATCAGGTGGCCAAGATTATTCATCAGCAACTTGCTTTGAAATACCGGCTTGTTGAGTCTGAGGTTCCGTACTACAAGTATGTGCCCGACCCAGTTCTCGAAAAAGACCATATCACATTGTACTGGGATCGGTCTATCATCACAGACAGGACTATTGTAGCCAATAAGCCTGACATAGTGTTGGTAGACCGACTAGCGCGTCGCACGACGATAATCGATGTTGCCATTCCTCATGACGAGAACCTCGTGAAAGCTGAGAAAGATAAACAATTGAAATATCTTGACTTAGCTCACGAGGTTGTTGACATGTGGAGTGTGGACTCGGCTATCGTTGTGCCGATAGTTGTGTCGGCAAATGGGTTAGTCCCCAAAAGCCTCGACAACCACCTTAAGAGGCTGACGTTAGGCGGATGGATCAAGGGCCTCATACAGAAGGCAGTCCTCCTTGAAACGGCACGTATTGTGAGGAGGTTCCTGTCCTTGGAGCCCTAACTGCCGGTAGCTTGGACCTTGCTCCCGCTGCCGGCTGGCACCTACTTTTATATTTTTAAATATTATTTTATTTTATTTTATTGTAATATTTAAAAATGTAATTTTAGAGTAATTTTATTAAATATATGGAAGATTAATAGGCATTACCTATAGTTTAATTTTTTTTAAGTACTTACTTGACTTACCAGTCAAGTATTAGGCGTTATTTTAAATAAACTATGGTCAGTGCAATATTAGTTTCATAAACAGCATAATAATCATTTTTTGAAACCAACCTTACAAAATAGAGTTTTAAATAAATTACATATGGTAACACTTAATTTAATAATATCTGGAGTAAAAATTCAAATTCAGAATACTATTTTCCTTATGTATTTGAATGAAACGAGAACAAAAGAAAAACGTTTCAGTAACCGCTTCAGTGGTTTTCAATAAGCAACGGTACCTGGGATGACGTAATCGACAGATATTTTACTTTCAACTGAAATTGTTCGCTTTCAGTCAACAGTTTTTCAGTGGCAAAAACATTTAAATGAACTCTTGATTTCAATGAAAGCGTAGCAAAAGCTTGAGTTTGGGTCGTCCGTTTTTTTTCTTTTGGGATATGTCACCAAATTAGCATTGGGACTCATAATACCAAAGGAGTAACTAAAAATGTTTTTTAAGCCCTACATTATGATTTTCTGCTGTGTCGTGGGTACAAACATACAATATCACATACATATCACACCCTCGGCCGTATTGGCCGTATTGCCGGCCTCTTGTGGGTTATTAAGGATTTAAGGATAGGGGATTTGATGATTAAGGATAGGTAGGGGAAGAATAAGGCCTCCCGTAACCTCACTCAAACGGCGAAACAACGTAAGTGTTGCTACACGCAGGTTTTCTGCGTGGTCGTAGTATCACTCCGGTCGAGCCGGACCATTCATGCCGGAAGCATTTATTCGGAATTCGGAAGCATTTTTTAATATTATTATAATTTTAGTCTCCCACAATTTAATGAAAACAATAATGGAAGTCGATTTCACTTAGGTGTTTTAGAAATGCATGCTTCGTATACCTTTTTTTTGTCAGGGGAAAAATTATCCAATGACTTCTTCCGTCTAGGGTAAGGCGAGAGAGAGTGTCAGACTCTTACTGACTAAAAACCCCCCGTTCCTTCTCCTGCTCTAGGCCGAGGTCGCGGTGCCTCATTGCGCTTACTCCGCAACCCCAGCTGAACATCAGCCGTATAGAGCCCCGTCTGTGGTGTCTATTGGCTCTTTGAGGCGCGCGCGGAACGCTACGCGCCGTACGCTCGGGTCTGGTTCTGGTCGGGCGGCAAACTACCCTTACTCGCCGTCCGCAGACCTGTGCTTACGGTGGCCGGAGATCATTTCTCGATCCCCGACGCCCGGAATGTCGCCTACTGCGGCGGCTGGGGCGCGAGGATGATAGTTCCCTCATTTTTTATTCCCCTAAGGGGTGAGCAGAGATGCATATGTTTTACATAACATTTTTACCCACTATTTTATAAGTCCCATGTAATAAGAAAATAAGCCTATAGCCATCAATAAACTGACCACAATCGTCCTTCGTGCATAAAGATTGAATTTAAAACGCAATCCAAAAAAACAAATGCTTTCATCGGTCCCTTAATAATAAACACTATCTTATCGACGACCCTGAAAAAATGGAAATAACTCGTTAAAACGAAACTGAACAGTTAATTATAACATGTTGTAAATAATTACTTTAAGTACCTACCTATTATTATTTTGAACCAATTTTTTTTATCGAAAACCCACTTCCGAAACATTATTACCTACTTTGTTGTCCTTAATTTACATAGTATAAAAACATCCTTGACATTAAAAAAAGAAAGAATTAGAATACAACAAAAAATGCTGCTTTGTACTAATAAAAAAAAAGAAAGTTTTGAAAAGAGGTCTGTATTGATTGTTATATTCTGTAGGGCAAATAAGTACTACATAAAAAAGATCGGAATGTACCTAGGAGAAACAAAAATTACTATCATTAGGTCTCTAGGTATTATCTGAAACTAGCAGACCCTGCATACTTCGTTCCGTCTCAATATTATATTAGGTACCTATACATTTTAAATATTCCCTGGACAAGAATATTTCAAGATCAGAATTAGCCGATTCGGACTCGGTTCTTGAGCTTTAGGACTAACAAGCAGGATTTCTATTTATACTTAGGTATATTAGATGTGTTATCTAACACATATTAATAAGATACTTTTTATCCCGACAACACGGGCCAAACCGCGGACAGAAATAAGTAGTTACAATAGCTAAACTATGAAATAGATAAGTAAGTAACTATTTATCATTATTCTCTTAAAATAACATAAGTTTATATAATATACCTATTCTGCACCGATAGTACCGAGGCCAGCTAGGGGTCAAAGGTAAAAGACATTTTGGGGTTATGCTCCATACCCCCAAAGCGTTGGGTGGCAGAGGGAGGCAGATCGATGACGCCACGTGCTTCGTCTGACGCAAGAACCGCTACATTTGGCGCGGGAAATATGTTTTTTAATTATTTGAAAATGGAATTAATTCATGATCTAAGCTTTATTTTTTTTATGTTTTAATCTACTCGTGTTTTTTTTCTGTGTTAGAAAGGAGGATCTAAAACTTTTTTCCATTTTACCTATCTACACATGGGGGCTAGAATATCGAGATTTCGTAGTGCTTTTCGTAGCTTTATCTCATTACATATTTGTGACGTAATTTCATCATCTTTATCATCAATCACGACCGCGCTGATGTAGTTTTTGTGTCTTATTTATTGGTTTTTTTATCTATGAGGTTATATGTAATAATAATGTTTCAATAAGTAGGTAATGTAGATAACAAATACATCATAATTGTTATTGAAGATCTCGTTAATATTAGAGATAAATTTAATTATTGCAGGCTGTGGTTTTAGCCGAACAGTTAATGTTTTCGATAAAAAAAATAAAGGATTTCCCGTAAAAGAATAATATTAATTTATTCGTGTATGTATCTAAATAGCGTTTTATGTTGCAAATAAATGTATATTGTAATAAGAGTAGGTATTAAGGTGATTGATTAGTAAAAGATTTATATTTATTTTAAATTACAATCTTGTTTAATTAAACGGATAATAAACGAATAAAATACTACTTTCTTTGCTCTAGGTCTAGGTGTGACTTTCATTTAAATAATTAATATTATATTTTCTAGCCTAATTTTTCCAGTTGGTGATCTTAACTCAAATTTTTGTAATATTTTAATTTTACTTCGACAAAAAAATTAATTGATATCACACTAATATTTTAAACCACAATCGAACTATAAAATTATAATTTTATTAGACAAATTTTACCCAAATAGAAATGTCAAAGGTTATTGCGGTAAAAACCGGTATCAATATCTAAATTAACAAAGACACACACTCATAAAAATAATACTTACATTTTCGTGCTTTAAAATATTTTTTTAATTCACTAAATTAGGTAATTTCTTTGCAAATGTCACTTCACTATAACGATTTCCCGCGTTTTTCTGCCGAAGCGACTAAGCCCGCCAAGTCGGGCCGCGAGACTGCCGTGCGCCAAATATGAAAGAGACAGAAGGTCAATTTCGATATGTGCAATAGAGATGACTGTATAGTATTGAACGAGGGATGCAAGGGGTTGGAGATCACGCCGGCAAGAGATTGAAAAAGATGTGAATTTTGAATGATTGGGTTTTCAGCCAGCTGTGCTGAAATCTAAATTAATCATGTAGGGTTTTGATGCGAGCTCACGCACCTAGTTTATAAGTAAAATTATATTTTAATTTACGTATTTAGGTCATCGGTTTAGATTTCTGATCAAGATAGGCATTAAGGACTTTTTCTCAGAATAATCAAATCAAGTAGGTTGCTGCCATACTTTAAGAAGAGGGTAGTACTGTCATAATACCTACACAGTAATTCAAAAGTTCGCGGCCATATAACAATAAAGTTAAATTAAAGGCATTCCGTAACGTCTTTTCTAAAAAAAAGATTATTCAAATAATAATGTCATGCTATCTATTATTAATATAGGCATAGGCAGAGGCTACATATCGCGACCTAGTACATAAGTAAATTTAATTTCCATAACATATCATTTAAATGAATTTATTTAATTTTAATTTTTAGAGTAACATAGAAACAAGTTAATACATTATTAGAAACAAAACGAAGTTGGGAATGAAACTATTTTTATCTGTATCTAATCGCTCGAACTTGAAATTGTCAAATGTCACGATGAGACGTTGCTAGTGTCAACAAACAGCTGATAAGTATTGTTTTCAAGTACGGTTCTGGCGTATTTTAGTTACCCATTAAAATAAATTTAATAAAATGAGTGAAGCGCCCCGACTTATCGTGCTTTACGGAAGCCAAACGTACACGGCTCAAGAAGTAGCAGAAAGAATATGGCGAAAAACGAAAGTCCTGGGATTTCGAGGGCCGGTTCAAGCAATGGACGAATACCCGATAACAAGCCTTATAAAAGAGGAATTTGCTATATTCGTGTGCGCTACAACTGGCCAGGGAGATGAACCGGATAATATGAAGAAGTTCTGGAAGTTTCTACTGCGTAAGAATCTACCTCCAACCTCTTTACTAAAGTTAAAATATGGAGTGCTTGGTCTTGGTGACTCGTCATATTTGAAGTTCAATTTCGCCGGCAAAAAGCTACATAGACGGTTATTGCAATTAGGAGCAACGCCTTTATTAGATATAGGTAAGGATCCAATTATTTGATTATTTTTCAAAATTAAACAAAGTAAATTGAAGGTATTAGAATTTTATGTCAGACATGTTAGAAGATTCTTATCAGAATTGTTTTCCCATATTTTGATTATATAACAGTCTGTTTAACAAACTTTTATTCAGAAAAATAATAGCAATATTATAAGTTAGTTATTATATTTAGTCTTAATGCTAACCATTAATTAATAGAGCGCTCTTACACATTCACAAAAAAAAATTTGGTACAATCAAAATGGCAATTCCCTAATTGTCCAAAACAAAAACAGTTTATACTACTTATTTTTTCTTTTTTCTTATAGGACTTTGTGACTACCAGCATGACTTAGGTCATGATGCAGTATTAGCACCATGGCTAAAGGAATACTTATCAATATTAAAAACTTATTACCCGAAAATAGAACCAGATAACATAAAAACTACTTTCATACCTCGATGGAAGGTATCTTTAGAAAAATGTGAGGATAGTAATAAGACTAGTAAAAAAGATGGTTTGACTGAAGACATATATTTTGCAAAAGGCATAAAGGATAGTTTTGTTGATGCCACACTTTTGGAAGTGGTGCAAAATTACAGAACTACACATGAGTCACATTTTCAAGTAAGTATCAGAAACCTTATGAGATTTAATATCAAAACCTTATTGGAATTTTATATTCGAAAATATGTCAATTATCCAATCTTGCAGACAATGCCCTACCTTACATAAATAAAAAATAACAGTGACATTATTATAATAAAAATATTATGTTTTTGTAGGTTTATTAAAATTTGTAAAGGATTGTTTACAAATATTTTGTATATCCTTAACACATTCAGTGCCCCCGACGCGTATGTGCGTGCGAGGAAACGCACATACGCGTCGGGGGCACTGAATGTGTTAATCTAATCAGAATATAGTGTAATCAATATATATAAATGACCTTTATAACTCTATATTATTTTTAAGAAAAAATAATTAATTTTGATTTTCTTTTTTAGGATGTTCGAATGATTACACTCAGAACTACAGGTAAAACAACAGTAAATTATAAACCTGGAGATGTATTTAATATACGTCCTAGAAATAGTAAGGAGGATGTAGAAGATTTATTTAATATTTTCAAAGAGCACAACATTGATATACTACCTCATTACAATTTAGTAGTCCAAGAATACCATGATGGTAAGTTTTTTTTTTCTTCTTTTAAGTACCCATCGTTATTTTATCTATAGGAAATAAATCTTGTTGAATTTTGTAAAACGAACTCGCTTTTCGATTTTAAGATGCAAAAAATAACTTTTTTATTAGAATGTTGCTATACGAATCTTTTTACGTTTTGTTATTCTCAAGTGTAGTAAAAGCAACAACGCGTTTAGTAAAAGAAAACACAACACATATTACAACTTTTACAATTAATTTAGAAATATTTACATTATATTTGCATTTACAATACAATTTTATTATTTTCCATATTTATAATAAAATAAAAATAGATTTGAAACCGTGTCAGTTTCACAAATCGTTCTGCATGAAAAGAAATAAAACGCGAAACGTCAACGTCAAATGAACACGTGCGGAGCTGTCAACTCCAAATGTCATATCATTGCTTCGCGGAAACACGACGTGTTGTTTAACCGGAATCAAACAAATTATTTACGTTAAATAACTTAAATTAGTATAAAAGTTTACAATGTTGCGACGGCAGGCGCGTTTGCGCCGTGAGTATTTATACAGAAAGTCTGTCGAAGACAAACAGAAAAATATTCAAGCGAAAAAAGACCAACTTAAACGGTGTTTGGAAGAAAATATTCCTATCCATGGAGATCTGAGGAAGGAGGCTCTTGCTTTACAGAAAAGAATAGACTATGAGGATAGAGGTAAGGTTTCTTCAGTTATTTATTATTTATTGGTGTTGTTTTGTTTACAAAATGTTTTATAACCTAAGTTTGAGTAAAATAACATGCTTTTATGTTTTGGTTTGCCACTGCGTAATAGCAGACTATAACTTCGATCTTTGTTAACTTCATTCTCATCTTTTAATGATCTAAATTTGAAATAACTAAAAGAATTTAAAAAATGTTGAACACTTAAAACTATAAGACCATCTTTTACTTTAGGTCCAGAAAGAGCAGCAGTAATAGGTGGTTTCAGTGGTGGTGCAAACACACAGAGCTCTCAAGATGATGAGTACAGATATGCTGGAGTAGAGGATCCTAAGATTATGATCACCACTTCAAGAGAGCCCAGTGCCAGGCTTAAGATGTTTGTTAAGGAACTTAGGTAAGTACTTTAATTTGGCTTATCACAGGGCCTTTTAGGATTAGGACTAGGATTTTTGTGATATAGTGAATTTACAGTTACCCTTTTTTTTGTTAGATTATGGTTCTAAAATATAAAAATATATGGAAAAATGTGAAATTGATACCCTTTCATTGTCACCATAGAAGTAGGTGCAGGGGGGCAGTTATTTTTGAATAAATATGGAAAGCGTCCATAGTCTGGTGACAATAAAATTTAATTATTTGTACATAATATGGTACTAAGGGAGAGCGAGTTACTCTATAAATACACTATAATTAATTATTTACAAAATTTTCCAGGTTAATATTCCCAAACAGTCAGCGTATGAACCGTGGTGGCTATGAGATGTCACAATTAATACATGCGTGCAGAGCCAATGAGGTCACAGACTTCATTGTGGTGCATGAACACAGAGGTGTGCCAGACAGCTTGGTAAGTTTACATTATTAAAGAAGAAATAAGCATGCATATATTTTTTTACTGTTAAAATTAATAGCAGCATTGATGTTCAATAAAAAAAGATTTTGGTCAATTTGAAATTCTCCCTGTTCTTGTAAAATCTAAATGGAATAATAAAGTCTTTAAAAAAAGAAAAGAGTTTCGAGTTCTAAAAATTAAATGTAGTAGAGAGATAATTGTGAAAATAACTAAATGAAACATACCTTAAGAAAAACTTTCTTCTTCTTCCAGGTTATCTGCCATCTCCCATATGGTCCAACAGCATCATTCACCCTCTCGGGGGTAGTGATGCGGCATGACATCCCTGACATTGGACCCATGAGCGAGCAGTTCCCACATCTCATCTTCCATAACTTTAAGACTGACTTGGGTGAGTTTATTGACCACTATCTTTCGCGCAGCCTCGCCCGCGTCACGTTGACGTGCCATACACGAATGAAATTTAGCACTCAGGAATATCGTAGCTATCTAGCAGTGAAAGAATTTTGGAAATCTGACCAGCGGTTCCAAACATCCCCCAAAGACATACAATCTTACAAATTACAAAGTATGTGTCTTTTTAATATTAGTATAGACTATAGAAGCCCCAAATATGATGGTCTTATACGACCTATAATCAATATTGTTGGGGATGTAAGGGGGCGAACTTCCATCTTTCGCCCCAAGCCAACCTCACCTGCACGCGGTGCATCCTGCTGGTCAACGAACGAGGCTCTGGCGACCGACCGACGGCGGTATATCCGTCCCTTACAAACAGGCGAAATTAAGTACCGCAGGCCGGTGACGGGCAGCAGCGTTACCGGTGCGAAAAGTTTCGCCCTGCGATCGCCAACCCGCCTGCCCAGCGTGGCGATTATGGGCAATACCTCCTATGGGCAAAAAACGAAGGCCACGGCCCCCAGTTCCCGGCAGCCCCACTATTCCTGGTCATGGTGGCGACCATGGTAACGGTGGGGTAGGGGGTGCTAAGAATCTCCGGGCTACGGGAGGCCACCACAACAGACTGACCCTGGCGACGTACAACGGACGCACGCTACGGCTTGACTCGCATCTAGCGCAACTAGAGGTGGAACTTGGGAAGATCAGGTGGCACATACTAGGGTTATGTGAAGTCCGAAGAGAGGGGGAGGACACGATAACTCTCAAATCAGGCCACCTGATGTACTTCCGTGAGGGAGACCAAAAATCCCAAGGTGGCGTTGGGTTTCTGGTTAACAAGTCCCTATCTAACAATGTTGTGGAAATGTCGAGTGTGTCGAACAGGGTGGCGTACCTCATTATAAAGCTCACCGAGAGGTATAGCCTTAAGGTGGTCCAAGTGTACGCACCGACCTCGGCACACTCCGATGATGAGGTGGAGGAGATGTTCGATGATATATCGAGGGCCCTCCACTCCACCACTAGGACTCACTTCAACATTGTTATGGGGGACTTTAACGCCAAAGTGGGAGTACAAAATTGCAGTGAATCGGTAGTAGGATCCCATGGGTATGGAAACAGGAATCATAGGGGGCAAATGCTCGTCAATTTCCTCGAACGGGAGGGGATGTTCTTAATGAATTCATTCTTTAAGAAGCAGCCCCAAAGGAAGTGGACGTGGCAAAGCCCCGACACTATGACAAAGAACGAGATCGACTTCATCATGGCGGACAAAAGGCACATATTCAGAGACGTCTCCGTGATTAATAGGTTTAATACCGGTAGCGATCACCGACTCGTCCGAGGCTCTCTGAATATCGACTTCAGAGCCGAACGAGTCCGCTTGATGAAGGCCAGGCTCCGACCAACCCTGTTTCAAATCAAAATGGGATCTGAAGCGTTTCAGTTAAACCTGGAGAACCGATTTGCTGCCCTGGAAACCACAACCGACGTTAACCGGAACCTTGAAAACGTGGTTCGAGTTCTCAGGGAAGAAGGTACGAGTTTTTGTGAAATGCAGCGTAAGGGCAAGAAGTCGAAGCTTTCGGAAGAGACTTTAGGGCTTATGAAGAGACGACGTGAAAACCCACCCGTCACTTCGTCAGAGAAGCGGGCTCTAAACCGAGAGATTAGCAAACACGTGCGACACGATCTCCGGTGCTCGAATACCCTTGCAATCGAGAGAGCGATCGAGCAAAACCGGGGGCCAAAAGTGTTCGTACAATCTCTTGGAAGAAGCCACCTGACGAAGTTGACCACAGCAAGTGGAGAAGTCGTTGTCTCGAAGCCGGCAGTTCTTTCGGAAGTAGAAAACTTCTACGGCCGGTTATACGCTTCGCATGCATCTCGACCTGACCCCGGAAATGAGGACTCTAGAGCCACTTTAATACGCCATTACACCGAAGACCTGCCAGAAGTCAGCATTGACGAAATCGAGATCGCTCTTGGACAGCTTAAAAATGGAAAAGCCCCTGGAGAGGATGGCGTTACGACAGAGCTTCTAAAAGCAGGCAGCAAACCGGTACTCAGGGAGCTGCAAAAGCTATTTAACGCTGTCCTGTTTGAAGGGAGAACTCCAGAGGCGTGGAGTCGGAGTGTGGTCGTCTTATTCTTCAAAAAGGGTGACAAAACCCTACTGAAGAATTATCGACCCATTTCCCTTTTAAGCCACGTCTATAAGCTGTTCTCGAGAGTGATCACGAACCGCCTTGCGCGAAGACTTGACGAATTCCAACCACCGGAGCAGGCTGGGTTTCGGAGCGGATACGGCACCATAGACCACATCCACACAGTGCGGCAGATTATACAGAAGACTGAGGAGTATAATCAGCCCCTGTGCCTAGCATTTGTGGACTATGAGAAAGCCTTTGACTCGGTCGAAATCTGGGCTGTTCTGGAGTCCCTGCAGCGATGCCAAGTAGATTGGCGATACATCCAAGTGATGAGATGTCTCTACGAGGCCGCCACCATGTCCGTCCAAGTACAGGATCAGCAAACAAGGCCGATACCGTTGCATCGAGGTGTGAGACAAGGGGATGTTATCTCCCCGAAATTGTTCACAAATGCAATGGAGGATATGTTCAAGACGCTGAACTGGAAAGGACGCGGCATCAACATAAATGGCGAGTACATCTCTCACTTGCGATTTGCAGACGACATCGTCATCGTAGCAGAAACGCTGCAGGACCTACAACGGATGCTGAATGACCTGGCTGACTCTTCTATACGCATCGGCCTACGGATGAACTTGGATAAAACCAAGGTCATGTTCAATGAACATGTACTACCGGAACCGATTGCAGTACACGGCGCTGTTCTCGAAGTCGTTCAAAAATATGTATACCTCGGGCAGACATTGCAGATGGGTAGAAACAACTTCGAGAACGAGGTGAATAGAAGAATTCAGCTAGGTTGGGCAGCATATGGAAAGCTGCGTCAAGTCTTCACGTCGTCGATCCCACAGTGCCTAAAGACGAAAGTCTTCAATCAGTGCGTCCTACCTGTCATGACATACGGAGCCGAAACGTGGACACTGACGGTGCGGCTGGTTCACAAGCTAAAAGTCACTCAGCGAGCTATGGAGAGGGCTATGCTCGGCGTTTCTCTGCGAGATCGAATCAGAAACGAGGTGATCCGGCAGAGAACCAAGGTAATCGACATAGCCCACCGGATTAGCAAGCTGAAATGGCAGTGGGCTGGCCATATTAGCCGAAGAACCGATGACCGTTGGAGTAGACGAGTTCTTGAGTGGAGACCGCGTCTCGGCAAACGTAATGTAGGACGTCCTCAGGCAAGGTGGAGTGATGATTTGCGCAAGATGGCTGGCAGGAGCTGGATGCGAGTGGCCGAAGATCGATCCCAGTGGCGTGCAATAGGAGAGGCCTATGTCCAGCAGTGGACTGAAAAGGGCTGATGATGATGATGATGATGATGAATCAATATTGTAAGATTCCTGATTCCAATGCATTTTCTGTCTCATTCATTATACAGGGTGTCCCAGAACTCAATGCCAAGCCGTAATGGGGTGACAGGATTGATCATAACTATCACGAAGAAATTTAAAAACTCTAAGCTGTGCAGTTTGAAAATTCCCTAAAACAATTATTTCTTAATTAGTATCTGTTCTGACTGCACGGCTGACGCTATCGCTGGCGTGAAGCGTCGCACGGTTTCGATTCTTGCACGGAACAACTCTATGAGTGATTTACAAATAGTTCTTCCGAGTCTTGGTGTAATGTGAATGAAAACAAACATAGAATAAAACATACTCACGCTCAACATTATTTAAAGCGCAGCTGACTTCCTGCTCAATTATTTTTGAAAAAAATTGATAATATCAGTAATTCATTTACCTATATGTAATAAATATATTTTTGTTTCACAGGTCTAAGAACAATGAGCATATTGAAGTATTTGTTCCCAGTACCGAAACCAGATTCCAAGAGAGTGATCACATTCGCAAACAATGACGATTACATCTGTTTCAGACAGCACACATATAAAAAGGTATGTTTTTGCAAAAAGTGTTTCAGCACAGCTAAGCAATTTATTATGTTGGTATGTATGTATATGTATAGATATGTTGTTTTCAGTGCTATATAAAAATGAATATTGAAATTTTCTTCTTAGCAGAAGTTACTGCACATCTGAAATGAAATAATCACATGTCATGGTAGTCTTAACAAATGATATGATAGCCAAAACCATAAACAAGGCCAAAAGGCCGTAAGGTACGCTTAATATGACTAATTTAATCATTACGTCCCTTTTTTGGCTAGCCTTAAGGCAAGGGCTTCTCTAGCTGCTTCAATTATAATAAGTTCATTCTGTTCTGACTTTCATCGAATATGGTCCCAGGTTCTGGAAGAACTTCTTTACGGGCGTCCTTGAGTCCTTCCACAGACCGTTTGATAGGTTGCCTTACGACACGCTAGAAACAACATTATACATCATCATCAGCCTATAAGTGCTCACTGCTGAGCAAAGGCCTCTTCTCATACAGAGAAGGTTAGAGCATTAATCACCACGCTTCTCAAGAAACAACATCATACACTGAAACATAATTGAGAATTACGCAAATTATAATGCCCACTTGCCAAAACATTTTGCCCAACCCTGGAATCGACGCCAAGATCCCTTATTTAGCTGTAACAATATGGTTCACCAACTTTTTTTATCTTATAAATTATAATCTAAGGTTGTATATTTTTTACAGGCAGGCAAAGACATAGAGCTATCAGAGATTGGACCTAGGTTCCAAATGAAGCTCTATGAAATCAAGCTAGGCACCCTAGATGCCCTGGACGCCGCAGACACTGAATGGGCTCTCCGCCCCTACATGAATACTGCAGCCAAACGACGATTCTTAAGCAATGAGGACGGATGGCAAGAAGAGGAATAAATAAAGAATTATATTTTTGTATTTTGATGTTTTATTTTTCTTACTTAACTTACCTTTAGATAGCCTTATTAAGATGACAAATTCTATCCTATCCTACTTCATACTTATGTTATAAATGTGAAATAAGAATGTATAGGGGATACTCTGGATTAACACTTAGGTTTTTTATCAAACCTCACCAACAAAGGCGGTACGGAGCCTAGTAAATAATATATTTGTGGATTAAATTAGGGACGATTTTTATGTATTTTTTAATGTATTAACAGATATACAGTACTTATAAGTAAACTGGGTGTTTGCTGTATATTCAGTAAGTGTTTTGCCTTACGGTTCCATTCCATACCTACGTCAAGTTAGAGGTTTTTATACTGTACTGCGATTAAGATTTTAACACAATGCCACCGAATCGCCCAGAGAGTCCACGTAAATTTCACGTAAACTTCTAGTATCTTTTTTCGGTAAAAATATCGTTTAAATACATACAAAGATTATTTAAATTTAGTTTATTAGCTTAAATAGATTTATTATTAAGTAAATATTTTTCCATATAATTTTTAAACAACTTTAGATAAAAAGGCATGCCAAGATTGTTGACATTTAGTTAATAATCTAAACTGAAATACCTACCGTAAATCTCTTTATTTAGAATTAGGAAAACTAACGTATAATGATTGGGATCGAAATAAAATGAATCATGTCAAAATTATTCTATTTATACTCCATAGATATGCCCGTCCCAGCGTTCCTAAAACAACCGCACACTTTATATGAAATAGCCGAACAATACTGGGACCTACGGAGTTACCCGACACAATATGTCTTCTCTCTTCTCGCACAAGTGTCTGAAGATAAGTTAGAAAGAGAGAAGTGTATAGAGCTCAGTTCCCCTGAAGGACAAGAAGACTGGCTTAATTATTGTAGAAGGCCTAAAAGGACTGTGTTGGAGGTGAGATAATATAATTCATTGTTTTTCTATACTAGTTTAATAATAAAGAGGTAAAATTTGTAAGTTTGTATGTAGGGGGTAATCTTTGGAACCGCCGGTCGAATTTCCAAAAGTCTTTCACTGATAGATAGCTACAATGTTCTTGAGTGCTATAGGCTATAAAACATCACGCTACGACTAAATGGAGCCGAGCAGCGGGTGAAACCGCGCGAGAGTAGCTAGTTTTTTACAATTTAGTTTTATAGGCAGTTAGTCTAGTGTGGAAAAATTTGGTGATCTGGTCCCAATATGGCCGATGTTTCGCAGGATTGCGGGGCTAGCGCAATTAATATAAAAAACGGGGGGGGGGGGGGGAGGTTTCAGTCAGTAAGAGTCTGACACTCCCCCTCGCCTCCTTGCCGCCTTGATATTAAGATACGATCATAAAAGTATTCGTTGTTATGAAAGTTCTGTGTAGATATAACGAAAGCTGGTTAGTCACTGATAATAAAAAAAAATAGCCAATAGCTCAACTGGATTTTGGCAGTCTTACTTTTGAGTTGGCTTCGGCATTTCTACTTGAGAGTAGTCAGTCACATGACGTATGAAAAAGCTGTGTTACAGCTTACCAAAGTATTTGGGAAATAAATTCATTGTTTCATTGATCAATAAATTGCAAATAAAAGTTATTAATGTGAACTAATTTCGGGAGAAGCATGGTACGGCCCGAATGGGCTAGCTTTATCGGAGTGATACCACGACCTCGCAGAAAACCGTGAAAAGCCAGCCTGATCCCAAAGTTCCTAAAGACATGCAAAAGGGTGCCAATGCACTTGCATCTGCTGTAGTGTTGCAGAAGTCCATGGTTAGCACCGATTGCTTACCATTGTGCTCTTTTTGCTCAAAGACACTTACAAGAGACACCAGAGGAGCTTTAAGGGCGTTACCGACCTTTTCGGGAATTGTGGATTGGGGGATCTAGGGATTTGGGACAAGATTTGGAGGTATAGGCCTCCGATAACATTACTTACTCAATGAAATACAACGTTTTGGTTGTTCCACGCCGTGTATTCTGTTAGACCGTAATATCTGGGCGAGCCGGCCCATTCTTGCCGAAGAATGACTCCGTTTCGCACTTAATAAACGGGTTACCTTCATATCTGTAAGAACATCTTGATCTTCTTTTATTCTTTTTGCAGGTCCTACACGACTTCCATAAGTCAGCATCCAAATTGACATTAGAAGTAGTCTTCGAGTTGTTTTCCACTATCAAACCCCGGTCCTTCTCCATAGCAAGCAGTTGCCTTCCATCGGGGGGGAGAGATATAGACCTTTTAGTTGCCGTTGTCAATTACAAGACTAAGTTATTGAAGCCACGACTCGGTTTAGCCTCAAACTGGTTGAAAGATTTGAATATCGGTGAGAAAGTGTATGGATGGATCAAACCTGGCACTCTAGTGTTTCCTAAAGATTCTGTGAGTGGTGTTTTATTCTATTGTATCTATTAGCCGTTATCCAGTCGAAGCAATTCTTGTGAAAAGGGTCGCTCTTTTTACAGACATCATTTTTATTTATATAGAAACTTAAAAACTACTATCTACCAATACCAATTTCCTAATGCGGTAGAAATTAAAATTAAAAAGACCTCGCAACGAAATAAAAAAAGATATCTTGTTTAAAGAGCCTTGTGGAAGTTTGTTATCGAAACGCTATAAAGTTGTGCTTTACAGCTCTCTGATTGGTTGGTTAAATTGGTGCAAGCCAATCAGAGCGCTAAACGTCATAAACTTGTCGAACACAATACCGTAACATACTGTAGAAGAAAAAGCGATAGCTTTCACTTCCTTCGAAATGATTTTTCCAATGTCAATTACCTATAGTTATTTTTAACATTGCCCCCACACTAGAATTTTCTTCCGTGTCGTGGGTGCCTTTACAAACATACAATTTCACAGGCTCACACATGACACCCAGACCCTAGACAACAATTTGTGGGAATCGATCCCGTGACCCGTTGCAAAATGTATGTTGGCATTAAATTATTTTTATTTCTATTTTCAGTCGACTCCCCACATCCTAATAGGTCCGGGCACAGGCCTAGCTCCATTCAGAAGTCTTCTACAAGAAAGAGAAAAGCTGCAAACGGCTAAAAAGGACGCCCTACATCTAATATTCGGCTGTAGATACAAAGAGAAAGACTTCCATTGTAGAGAGGAGTTGGAGAGAATGGTGAAACAGGACAAGTTGACTCTGTACTGCGCGTTCTCTAGGGACCAGGAGAATAAAGTGTAAGTATTAGTCAGTCATAAAAGGTATATCTATGTTTCTATAAACAAAATATGTTGTAAGTACCAATGTGCTTTTTCCGATTAATAGATATGTAGTTTCTAATTATTTGGACACCACTGACATACGGTGAAGAATAACACCGTGAGGAAACCTGGACTTATAATTTCTAATTATAAGTTTTTGGGTGATTCTCCAAAAAACCTTAACTTTTATTTAACAAGTCATTATCCTCCCAGGTTTTTAAGCATCTTAGTATTTTATTTTATACAATATTTTTAATCGGTTGCTTGTAAGCAGTGGTGAGATTTAATTTAATAAAATAATTATCTGTGTTTTAATCAGCAGACTCGTTAATTTTCGGTTGAGGATAATGACATTATTAATTTTTTTTTAATTGATGTGAAGAATCACCCTTTTAATCGCCAATCCGCCTTGAGAAAACGTGGCGGTTAAATACTCAAACCTTCTCCGTGTGAGAAGAGGCCTTTGCTCAGCAGTAAGCACTAGTAGGTTGATGATATAATGTGAAAAATGAATCGCAAAGTGTGTTTGGTAAGCGCATAACTCAACAACGCCTGGACCGATTTTTCCATTCCAAATCTTTTTTATTCCTGTTGTTTTTGTCCTTGTCTGAATTTTACGGAAGAGTCCAGCAATATACATATTCGGAGCCTGTGTTCCCGGAAAGATATAACCAGGGTGTCTTCAGGCAAAATAGACGATTCTATCTTACTGTACTAATCATAATACGGTTGTTTCCAACTAGTCAAATTCAATACTTTTATCCAAATGTCAAAAACGATACTTTTCTATGAAAATTGTATGAAACATTGAATTATGACGTCATAGCATTTTTGCGTCAAAGAGCTTACTTATTTTTAAAAAAATTGCTAAAAATATCTAAAACTTAGTGTATCGATCGATCGATGAATAAAAATTTAGTTATTTTTCAATATTTTATCGTATTAAAACGTCGAATTAATTTATTTTTGACCTAAGAAACTACTCAATTCTTACTAATATTATAAATGCGAAAGGTACGATGTTTGTTACTCGATCACGCCAAAACAGCTGGATGGATCTGGATAAAATTAGGCACAGCATACACTCCGGAATAGGACATAGCCTGCTTTCTATAAACATACAACGCGGGCGCAGCCGCGGGCTGAAGCTAGTGTTTGTATAAATTATACTGAATGCTCATTATCTTTCCCAACAGATACGTCCAACACAAAATATCCGAACATAAAGATCTGCTATGGCAGTTGATATCCAATCGGGCATATATTTACATATCAGGCAACGCAAAGAATATGCCTGATAACGTGAAAGAGGCCTTCGTGGAAGATGTTCTAAGCAAGACAGGAGGCCAAACCCTTGAAGAAGCCAGAGCTATGCTGAAGGAAATGGAGAACAGTGGAAGGTTTCAAATCGAGGCCTGGTGATGAAGCTGACCTAATAATTTGACCTTTTTGGACCGCCACGGTTTGAAGTAGCCGACAAACTTTCTTCTGTAGTTTTTTTATTGAGTAATTTCTATTATTTTCTCACCTTTTTTTTGAGTATATTTTCTTTCTCCTACTATTTATAATACTAGTTTAATTTAGAATCATTCTTTAATTCTTAAAAAAACGTTGCCCCGCACTAGGATTTTCTCCTGTGTCGTGGGTGCGTTTAAAAACATACTAATTCACAAACACATCCCACTCCCAGACCCGGAACAACAATTTGTGGATCAAACAAAGTGTTATTCCGTGCTGGAATCGAACCCGCGACACGTTGCGCGGCAACCCAGCCACAGCTCCAACCGTGCAGTCATCATTCGTAGAGATAAACCAATTTTTATGTTTCATTTTTATTCCTAACAAGTTTCCCTTGCAATAAGTTTAAATATTGTAATAGCTATGTATATTTGTATTATGTATGTTACTGTATGTAATTTCTCTCAGCCTTACATGTGGCGATCCAAGAAAAAAGTTTTGTTGTTCATTTGTCTAATGTTGTCAAACCTAATATATAATAATTTTAATTAATGAGCAGTGTTACTGCATAATGTCACAAATTGTTATTTTTTAATTGAATTAGAGGTCTAACCTCATACCTTAGGCCTAAAACATCACATTGGAAATTAGACCTTACTTTATATGTAATTAGAAATAAAATTTGAATTCAGGTGTAGGTAATATTCGACTCGAATAAAAATTGTACCTATATGTATATTTGTAATTTTTTGCTTTTTAATATAATAAAAAAGGTAACTGTGATAAAATAATTAATAAAATCACAACATAGTTTTAAATCGAGTTTTATTTTATTACCTTAATTATATTTACATCGATAGAAAACTACCTACAATACAATGTATTGAAAAAAATGTTTTAGAATCTAGACTCACTCCTAATTTAACAAAAGTGTACTTAAATAAATCCGCAAGTCAAAAATACAATCTGTTAGTCTTAACATTATTAAGGGCAGAATTTTCAATAGTCAGCTATAGGTTACCTGAGTAATAAAATTGTTGCTGTCACTGTCTTATACAAACATTCTGACGCGACAACATCATAATAAATCCCCAGATAACTTTAACTAACCATTGAAAAATCAGCCCTAAGACTTACAACAAAATGAATTTTTGGTCCGACTGAAATTCAAAGACAAAGTTTTCTTCATCATCAAAATACTTAATTATCAACAACTTTTTTTCACTCTCTCATAAAGACATCATCATCTACCGCCTTTCATAAGCAAAGGCCCAAAGACTTCCAGATATGTCCTATCTTTAGGTCTTAGCCTTTGAACCTATCTAGATCAATGTTACAAACTATAGCTCAATTCAAATTAGTTCGATCAAGAATTGAAATGGACTTCGGCCGGTAGGGAAATATTTTATACATCTAGCTGGAGTTAGGCAGTCCCCATAGTTTGAGGTTTCCAGCATCCCGCTTCCTCTCCGGTGGTTCCTTATCTTCACAAGCAAAGGCCACCAGGTAACGGGACGGGTGCCAAGCCACTGTGAACGTGGACGCTTGTACTGGGATTTCAGCTACTTTTTCACCTGTAATTAATAAGAATAAAGGTTTTATTTAAGTACGCACGATTAACTGATGGTAAGCAATCTGCGCTGCCCATGGACATCCGCAACAACGGTGGAGTTACGGCGTGCGTTCGTGCAGCGGAATGTTGTTGAATTTAAAGATTTTAATTATGCAGATATTTAGTGTATGACGTCGTATAATTGTGTATGGTAAAAAAAAAATTGTGCACGCAACCATTGTGGAGAAATTCACCAAAAACTGATTCCGCTGGGCGAACGTTGTCCTGGCGGAACTTTTTTTAATCCAAAGACTTTAGAAGAAAAGAGATGTATCCAAAAATTAGTGTGTATTTGTGTGTAATTGTGTATGTATGAATAAAACTAGTGCATGCATAAACTTCGGAGAAATTCAAGTTTCCGCTACGCGAACGTTTGGCCATTAGCTAGTTTTCATATAAAGCGCTTACATAGAGAGCTGTAGATTTTTACATAGGTTGTTTTGAATTTGTGTATATTTGTTTAAAAAACAGATTTAGAAAAAATCGTAGGGTTTAAAAGATAAAAATATAAACGTAAAATACGCTTATTAGGTCTTAGCTCTTAAAGTATGCACTTTAGGGTCTAGATTTTCACGTTTATACAAACCTTGTAAGTGTCTGCAACATGTTGCCAAGTATCAATGATGTTCCGTTAGTAATTAAATAGTTATAGGACAAATTTACCATGAATAGATCACTGTTTACAAAGCAGTCAAATATCACGACGTTCTAAATGAATTGCATGGTAAAATGTATGCCAATAATTAGTGTATTCATTCAACTATTCACATGCAAAATTTCATGTCATTAAATTCAGTAATTAAAGAAAAACAATTATAATACTGACGAAGTATCGAAAACCTACATAACCCGGCCAAGTTCGGATGGCTACAAAAAAGCGGTTGTTCAATATATTTAGGTAACATCCCAAAATTTACAGTATAACAAGTGTGTTATCACCTGTACCAATACCGGTATTGAATTGGTACAGGTGATAACACACTTGTTGTTTCGAAATAATTTATAGGTCATTCATTTTTGGACACCTACTTTTTTAAATGTATTTGACTTTGACAGAAAGTAGGTACTATTTACGTAGGTACTTTATTTAAGTATGCGCTTGAGATTTGAGATATAATCTAATTATATTTAAGACAAATAAAATTCATACAGCTAATTTCTATTGAAGATTTCACGGATCAGGATTCTAACTATAGACCCCTTAGGGAAATTAAATATTTACCACATGTAAGTACTTAAGTACTACTGTTTAGGTAAATATTTATCATATTGTAGCTTATTACACTATTTAACCAATATTTTTTATTACACTATTTAACCAATAGAGGCATAATGTACGAGCGTGTGTACGATACTGTGTTTTATTTTTTTCCTAACGCTTGTGTACGATAATGTACCATATTAATAAATGCTATATTGGAAAGTTAAGAACGTTTCTTAGATATATGGCACGGCCGCTTTTTTGTAGCCATCCGAACTTGGTCGGGTTATGTAGGTTTTCGATGCTTCGTCGGTACTATAATTGTTTTTCTTTAATTACTGAATTTAATGACATGAAATTTTGCATGTGAATAGTTGAATGAATACACTAATTATTGGCATACATTTTACCATGCAATTCATTTAGAACGTCGTGATATTTGACTGCTTTGTAAACAGTGATCTATTCATGGTAAATTTGTCCTATAACTATTTAATTACTAACGGAACATCATTGATACTTGGCAACATGTTGCAGACACTTACAAGGTTTGTATAAACGTGAAAATCTAGACCCTAAAGTGCATACTTTAAGAGCTAAGACCTAATAAGCGTATTTTACGTTTATATTTTTATCTTTTAAACCCTACGATTTTTTCTAAATCTGTTTTTTAAACAAATATACACAAATTCAAAACAACGTATGTAAAAATCTACAGCTCTCTATGTAAGCGCTTTATATGAAAACTAGCTAATGGCCAAACGTTCGCGTAGCGGAAACTTGAATTTCTCCGAAGTTTATGCATGCACTAGTTTTATTCATACATACACAATTACACACAAATACACACTAATTTTTGGATACATCTCTTTCTTCTAAAGTCTATGGATTAAAAAAAGTTCCGCCAGGACAACGTTCGCCCAGCGGAATCAGTTTTTGGTGAATTTCTCCACAATGGTTGCGTGCACAAATTTTTTTTTACCATACACAATTATACGACGTCATACACTAAATATCTGCATAATTAAAATCTTTAAATTCAACAACATTCCGCTGCACGAACGCACGCGAGTTACGAGTACGTTGCCCAGCTTTTGGGCATTAGGGGTTTGGAGATTTTGGAATTGGGGGAGGGGAAGGCTTTTTTTTTAAACGAGTAACGAATAGAGTTTCTTGCTCGTTCTTCTCCATTCGAATCTACAATTTGGAATGAGCACCTAGCTTCACTGACGAACAGACTGACAGACTACTTCTCTATTTTGACGTTTCAAAAGTACCTATTAATGGTTTAGTTGGAATAAATGATTTTGACTTTGACTTTGAAACCATCACGCTACTACTAAATGGAGCCGAGCAGCGGGCGAAAGCGCACGAGAGTAGCTTTTATGATTTATGTGAGATAGTTGATCTTCATTTTAGATGTTTTAGTCTGGTTATGATTTAAGTATTATGTACCTGTCTCTGTGTCTCCTATATCGATGATGTGGTCTTCGCTGGCAGACGCGAGCAGTCTTCCATCGAAACTGAACGATAACGTGCGCACTGGCCATTCTAATCTGTAAACAATAATGTACATATATTAGTATTATAATTATCTCCATTAAAATCTACACTTCGGAAATGGCAAATAGCTTCACTAGAGGACAGACCGACAGACTTTTTTTTTATGTAGGTCATGATAATGGTAAGCTTTCAGCGCCGCCCATGGACACCCGCAACGGAGGAGTTACGAGTGCGTTGCCGACCTTTTAGGGATTAGGGTTTTGGAGATTAAGGGATTGGGGAGGGATTACGCCTCCGATAACCTCACTCACACGGCGAAACAAAACGCTGATACACAAAGTTGAACTTATTGATGCAATTTTTTTATTTGACGTTCAAAAGTGCCTAGAGTTTTAAGTATTCGAAATAAATGATTTGACTTTGAAATCTCCATGTTGCAGGTTAAAGATTAATGACTTCCGCCCTGGGTAGGGCGAGAGAGAGTATCAGACTCTTACTGACTAAAAACCATATTATTATTCATTCTCTAGCTCTAGCTCTTAGCGAGGCCGCGGAGCGTTCTTGCGCTTGCCCGCAACATCGGCTGGGATAAGTTTAGGTATAGATTTACATAACATTAATAATGGTGTAAACATTAATAATGGTGTGCACAATAGAAGAACAATAGCTGCGCGAACGTGGACGTTCGCTTGGGCTTTGATGAATAAATAACATTTTAACGACCCAAATTGTTAGGATGATGTGAATTCAAAAGACTC